CACAATTGACTCACTGCTATAGCAATGTTTTTATGTCTTAAAGTGTTAAAATACTCATTATTAAACCGTTTATAAGAGATTAATCCCTCAGGAGCCTTTATTCTGTTCATAATTTTAGTCTTAGATCATGAAGCTGTGTTTCTTTAACCAGCATTTTAACGTACAGGCTTTCTTTGTGAGCAATTTCACATTGTCTGATTGAATAGTAAACTCTCCCTTTGTTGGTTTGACTAATATAAACTATGCCAGCAATGCGGGGCATCAGGGAAACGGATCCACATGTCTCCCAGCACCACTTACGCTAGCAGTAAAGCGAGGACCTGCTTTACTGTTCAGCTCTAGTGTTTTGAATAAAAATAGACGTTTCAGCTAGACTTGAGGAAGCTTTTTACTCTACTTTGGTAAAAAGATCAATGACGCATCTCATGCAGCCAACACTTTGTACAGAAATATAATTGGCCCCATATTCAGATACAAATAAAGCAGCAATAGCATTGCTCTCTAGGTACAGTAGGTGATCACTAATCAAACCACACAGGCTGTTATTAGTTGAACAAGGACATGCATGCTTTGAAAAGAGGGAATTCAAATATGACAAAACGATGTAGTCTGAGGCTTAAAAAAACAAAACAGAAGTAATTCTAATTTGAGGGCGTTTTTGATCGAGGTGGAGCTGAAAGATGAACTTGATCTGAAATCTCTTTGGTTTTTACAGCTGCTCTCTTTAAAAGAAAAAAAAACACTTGAGCTATGGTGCAGCTTGTGTTCTTCTAGAAACAGCAGATTTCATGGTTAAAGGTCTTGCTTAATATATGAAAACATTCAGTTTGTCACAAAAATGTTGATTCTCCAAGAAGCGACTAGTAAAGCGGAGCTCTAAACCCCCTCTGATGATCAAAACTGGAAGATTACAACGTCTAGTCTTAATAAGTCTTTTCACTTGCTTTTTGTGGTCTTATGAGGAAATAGAACAAATAATTACATGTAAACAGTGGCAAGGATTTTTTCTATATTGATCACTAATCAATAGAAGTCTCTATATGTCAGAGTTCCCTCTCCTCGCTGTGCGTTGAGTTTCTAAAGCTGCACGCAGGGCTCCACCAAACTGTAGGTCATGCACCTGGTCCAGACCACAGCTGCAAACTGCTGCTTTGGTAATATACTCTTTTATTGTTTGATATGCGCAATCATGGCAGCACTTATCATTACAATGTGTGTTCATCTGTTTATAATGAACTGGATGATATGAGACACTTCATCCTTAAAGTCAAAGACCAAATCAAACTCGTTTTTAAGTGCCTTCAAACTGATCAATTAATCAAGCCCATATTTAGTCAAAGCAACTTAAATACATGTAAAATGCAAATTGTGTTCACACCGTGTTTGTCCAACCATCCTGTTTTTTGCAGGACCAATCTGATTAGCCCTCAGTCTGTCACACATGGGTGGTAACTTTAGGCAGACGGGCCTGTTAGCTCAGTTCCTCCCATCTTCTTTGACTGACAGGCAGATAGCACGAACAGAAAGTGTCAGCACCTACCTTCATCTACTACTCTCCTCTTTTACACATACTGGGGAATTGACAAAATGTATTCACCGCCGCTGGCCTGGTTTCTGCTGACAACTTCCATCTGGACATTAAGTAAGAGCACATGATATTTCTGTTGTATTGCTCAAAGTGATGTTAACGTTCTCCCTCCGTAAGAGGCCCTTTAGTGTAGGATACCGTTGTCGGCTCAAACTGATGCTGGTCTGTTATTTAACTTTACAAACTTCTACTAGCGGGTGTTTCGGATAAATCTTATAATGTGATTCTTAAAGGGATACCCAAATAATTTCACCCTAACCCTAAAGAAAATATCTAGTATTAAAACTAATTGTTCTTTTTTGTTAGATTATTAATTTGCTTATGGCAGGAGGCCTACATAGAGGTCAGTTTATTCTTAAAATTGCATCCAAACAAATTGTAATTATACTGTGTATCGCCGTCAACTGGATATATTCTTAGATTAATAATGTCTTTTCTTGAATTTTTGCATAGCATAAATATTTCATAGATGAAAAAATATATAGAAAAAAGGACTTATCTAGCGAACGTTAACTTATCCTGCACTGTCGACTGCTTACCTTTACTTATTACCTACAATCAGAAATTGCAAAAAGGTATATAGATATGTATAGAGATCTTTTAAAAAACATAGTGAAAGCATGTTTCATAGCTGATTGTGAGATATCATTGAATAAGTCTTCCTATTGAGGTTTTTCTGGAAAAATTACATACCGTACATTCTAGGTTTATTTTCCTCCGTGCCAAATTTAACACTCTCTAAATTAGACATTTTGTTGCAGTTGTTGTCATTGCTGTATATCGGTACATTTGGCTGTATTTATGTTGTTTTCATAATTAGTGTTTATTTCGCATTCATATTTAGGAAATATCTTACAGCAGCCACAAACGCGTACAAACAACAAACACTGGACTCAACAGTACAGGCCTCAAAGTAAAATTTAAAGATCTATCTAGGTTTTTTGCTCTTTGATTTTTTTTAGGCCTTTAAAAACAGAAAAACCCTAAATAATCTTAGCTAGCCTTCAAACTTTTCAATGGTTGACACTCTTTTTTATGATCTTGTACTTTCTTTCTTTACTCTCCAGGTTGGAGCCAGATCATGCCACCAGAAACCACCAAATTCGTATTCCCTAAGATCAACAGCACCGAGAGTATCGATTGTGAATGTAGTTCTTCAGACTGTGCCAATGTCTACTGGTACCGAGCTGTTCCCAGTGTGGGCAAAGTAGAATATATAGGCCGATGCAACAATGCGGAACGTTTTGTCTTTGGGCCAGCGTACGAAAAGCAACAGAGTCGCTTCAAATGTAGCAAGAGGAGCTCGGGTTTTGCCCTGCGCATCATCAACGTGAATAAAGGGGATGCAGGGATTTACTCATGTGTCCTAACGTTAAAAGACTCAGTTGAAAAGTTTAACCCTGGGACAGTTTTACGGCCAGGAGGTTTGTATACAAAGGTTATCAAAGAAAAAAGTGTATGGTATAATAAGTATATTTTGATAAGGGTTGTGTTGCCTACGTATATCTATCTATATATATCTATCTATATATCTATTTATCTATCTATCTATCTATCTATCTATCTATCTATCTATCTATCTATCTATCTATCTATCTATCTATCTATCTATCTATCTA